GCATGGCTCTGTCTCTGGAGTACCAGGTTGTTTCTTTATATAAGTCCCATAATGATTCTTTCTTCTTACTATACCAAGTTTGTTGTTCATTTTTATCTAGTCACAATCTCTTTGGTTTTCAAGGACATACTCAGAGCATGGGTTACAATCACAGGTGTGAGACGACAATTTTCAAAGGCATGTTCAGAGCATGGGTTACTATCACAGACAGGTGCGAGATAACAGGCTGCCCACACAAACCAAGGCCTGGAGTGCTATCTAGCTATGCAGACATTGGCTACACAAGCTAGAATATTACCTTCCTAATCAAATCTTTACTAGAAGCCCCAATGTTCAGAGCAGGCCCTTTTTTCAATGTATCCCCTCTTTTGCAGTTCTTTCTGTAACTCTTTAATTTCTTTTTGTACTTATCTAAAGGTTCCCTTAGATCTATTCCACAGTTTTGACATCCTAACCATTGTTGTATTTGTTGCATATATTAAATTAAAGTTTTAATAACATTTATCTTTTTTCTAGTGGGAAGAATATACTAAGGAGCCTGTTACCTTGTAATTCTTTTCCACAAACAGATCAACCTTGCATAAAGCATTAACCCCTTCTCCTACACTAACATTCTGCTTGATTAAAATTCTACAAAGCAATGGACATTTTGGGGGTCATGAGACTAAGAGTTCTTCCCTAAAATTAGAAATATAACAATCATTAATGGGACCACCAGGAAGGTCTGGCTTTCTTATGCAGAGTGTAGATCCCAACAAACCTAAAACCACCAAGAGGACCACAGCTGTTGTTCTCATGCCTTGCTGAGACAGACCTTCTGTTATGTCCTTGTCAGCAAGCCAAAGTTGCCTTGGCCTCCCACTCTGTTAGCATTCCTTTGCATGTGTATACCACATTTCATTATCCATTCTCCAGTTGATGGGCACCTGATTCTACATCATGGTTACTGTGAATAGTACAATGCTACACATGAGTGCACACATCTCTTCAACATACTTTCAACTCATAGATACACGCCCTGTAGTAGGATAGCTGAGGCATATAGCAGTTCTGTTTCTAGGTTTCTCAGGATTGGCCACATTGTTTTCCAAAACAATGACAGTCATTTCCATTCCTACAAAGAGATCCCCTTTCCCTACACCCTTACCAGCATTTATTACTTTTATCTTTTGATCAAACTGTTCTAACTGGAATAAGATGGTGATTTTGATTTGCAGTTCCCTGATGACTAGTGACATTGTACATTTTTCCATATACTTGTAGGTTGCTGTAAATCCTATTTTGAGAATATCAGTACAGATTATTTGCCCATTTTATAATCAGATAATTTTTTGTTATTTAGATCCTTGAGTTTCTTCTTCATTATGGATATTCATAAGTATTCATTCTCAAAAACAAAGTTCTCTAAGGTGCACTTCTGTGTTTTTCAGTCATTTTAGAAGAGTCATCTTGGGGCCTTCCAGCTCTCTCATTCCCTCTGTTCAGTCAGTTGGGTCTGTGACCTAGACTCTAGATCTTATTACTTTAGGGCCTCTTAGTGGCTCCAGTCTTGAAGAGGTTTTACCTATAGGTTCTGCATTAACATCCCAAGAGGAACTTTCCTAAACCACAAACTTCATTGTATCCTTCCCTAACCCCACAACTTACTGAATCCTTAAAGCACACATAGAGAGATGCCAGCAGCAGAGTGCAGCTTAACGCAGTGCATGTAGAGGGATGCTGGCATCGCAGAGTGCAGCTTAACCCAGTGTACCTCAACACGAGACCCAGGATGAGGGCCTTTCTGCAAGGACTTTGGAGGGGTCCATTCACTTCTTCCACCTTGTGAGGACACTTCAAAAAGGAGCCATCTTTTTCCTAATGTTTGGATGTTGAATTCAGTCATACTGGTATATTAAAGGGGTACAATGCTCCCTTTCAACTCTTAGACATATGGTAAATAGCAGGCCTCCAGCCTTCCCTTTCATTATCAATTTTTTGACGAAGGCACCAACATAGAAGCAGAAAGTGAGTCCTTTCAAGTTACTGAGTCTGCTGGTCCTCAATTTTACTCTCCCCAGCCTTGAAAACAGTGTGAAAATTTTCAAATACCCAAGACAAGGTCTTGTTACAATAGCTAAAAAGCACTGAAATCTCTAGGAATGTCTTGCTTTTCTCCCTACAATTTGAAGCACAGCTTTGCGGGCTACAGATTCCTCAGTTTGTGCTTTTTTTTTGCCTTCTGCACTGCACCACATCAGCCCTCTGGCTTGTGGTCCTCCAGGGATTCCGATGAGCAATTTGCTCATGAACATAGGGGAAATGATGGAAGATACCTCCCTCTCAGCTCTACAGATATGAACAACGCACCTGAGCTGTCACGGGCAACAGAACATTTTGTGGTAGTGTCATGATGCCAGGAAAGTGGTTCCATCATGTTGAGACCTATCACTCAGATGTTAAATTGAGAGGAAAGGCTATTTGGGGTGTAGACTTTAGGAGGCAATTGGAACATTCTACATGTGCTAATTTTGCAAAAAATAAATATCAATTTCTATCACTAACCTAAGCAAAGATCTTTTGGGGGTACTTTCTCTTTAATCAAATGGACAGATACTTCTGGAAACTACCATGGAGTATCACCAACTGTGATTGGTCCATTTCTTGCTCTGACGTTGGAAGGTGCATTGTGATGTCATTCCAACTGCCTGTTTGAATCCCTGGCTGGGCAGAGGACTTTGTCCGTTTTTTTCCAGGAAGCAGTTGGATGCTGGCCAGCGAGACTTGGACAAAGCTATAAGTTTTTCCATATTTTGTTGTTTTTGCTGTTTTATTGTTCTGTTCATTTTGTCCTCTCCCTTCCCCACAATCTTTTACTTCTTATCTGTGCATTTTTATTTTATTTAAATATCTCCTCATTTCTCTTTTGATTTTTCTTGTCATTTCTTCTCTTTATTTTCCATTTTCATTTTCTAATTCTTTAATTCTTGTGTATCTCACCTTCTTTTTCTCATCTGTAATCACTTTCTTTACATAGGAGGTTTAGTATTGTAAGTTTAGCTATAAGAGTTGGTGTTTTCTTTCTGTTACAGTTCTCCGTGTTTCTGTTTTGTCACTTTTGATTATTTTGTGTGAATCACTGATTAGTATAGTGTAATTCATTATAGTGTTTGTTCAAAATATTAGCATAGTGAATAGAATTAATCTTAATAATTAGTGTACTTCATATACTGTTATTTTTGTTATGCCCAGATAAGTAGATCCCCCAATAAACTATCAACAACCTCATCACACTGAAATCCAAAAGCAAGATTTCTATTAGAAAGGTACAAGCCGCGACAGGGACCTCATCCAACCAACCTGCGCAGCAGAGGAAGGAGGAAAGGCCCAGGTCTTTGTTTGGGGACGCTTTTAAAGGGGAGATACATCATCAAGGGCTTAAGGTGTGGGGCCTTTTGTGATTGGGCAGGGTGGGGGGTGTGTGTCTCTGTTTGGCTTGGGTTCAGAAAGTTACCTCAGTTGGTAATCTCTACTGAGCTGGCCTTGGTCTGCTGAGCTAGCTGTCCTTGGTAAACTTGGATATCTCCAGAATGCCTGAATGCCTGCTTTTACAAGGACTCGGGTCTGCTATGGGAAACAGAGGCTGCTTTTGATTGTTTCAAAATAGTCACTTTGGCTCTTCAGTTCTGTCTGTTCTTTTTAGCTGTTTATTTTGTTCTTTTTTTTTTTGTTTTGTTTTGTTTTCCCTCTTATCTTCCCCACAAATTTTTGCTTTTCATCTGTGTGTATTTTATTTAAAAATCACATTTCTTTTTTGATTTATCTTGTTGTGTTCATAATATCACATAGTGAATTAGAATTGGTCTTATTGATTAGTACAGTGAAGTTCATATGCAGTTTTTTTGTCTATTTGTTCTTAAGAGCTTTATTTTTTTATTTTTATTTTTAGTTTTCTTCCCCTAACTCAATTTTTTTATCTCTGTGTATTTAATTTAAATATCTTTTCTTTTTCTCTTTTTCTTGTTATAATAGTAAGATGAGTACATTGAATAGAATTAGTCTGTAGTATAGTAAATGTAGGGTTACCTGTTAATGGACTTACTCATTTGTTTCTGTCATTTTATTTATTTATTTATTATCATGTTTATTTCATTCATTTGTTTTGTTTTGTCACTTTTGATTATTTTGTTTGAATTAATGATTAGTATAGTGTAACTCATATATAGTGTTTGTTCAAAATATTATCAGAGTGAATAGAATTAATAATTAGTGTGGTTCATATCCTGTTGTTTTGTCTGTTCCTTTTAGTGCTGTTTATTTTGTTTGTTTTTTTTGTTTTTGTTTTTCCTCTTTTCTCCCCCACAAATTTTTGCCTTTTTTATTGGTATTTTATTTTAAAATCTCATTTATTTTTTATTTCTCTTGTCATTTCTTCTATTTATTTTCTGTTTCCATTTTCTAATTGTTTAATTCTTGTGTATCTCACCTTTTTCATTTTTTTCTCATCTGTAATCGCTTTACACAGGAGGATTAGTATTGTAAGTTTGTTATAAGAGTTGGTGTTTTACTTTCTGTTATGGTTTTCCATTTTTTTGCTTTGTTGCTTGATTATTTTGTTTTAATTATGATTAGTAGAGTGTAATTCATATGTACTGTTTGTTCAAAATATTAGCATAGTGAACAGAATTAATCTTAATAATTAGTGTAGTTATATACTGCTGTTTTGTCTGTTCTTTTCAGTGCTGTTTATTTTGTTCTTTTTTTTCCTCTTTTCTCCCCCTCAAATTTTTGCTTTTTTATCTGTGTGTATTTTATTTAAAAATCTCATTTCTTTTTGGATTTCTCTTGCTGTATTCAAATATCACATAGTGAATTAGAATTGGTCTTATTGATTAGTACAGTGAAGTTCATATGCAGTTTTTTTGTCTATTTGTTCTTTAAGAGATTTTTTTTTATTTTTTATTCTTAGTTTTTTCCCCAACTCAATTTTTTTCTTTTTATCTCTGTGTATTTAATTTAAATATCTTTTCTTTTTCTCTTTTTCTTGTTATATTAGTAACTTGAGTATAGTGAATAGAATTAGTCTGTAGTATAGTAAATGTAGTGTTACCTGTTAGTAGTATTAACATATTGACTTATTCATTTGTTTCTTTCTCATTGGGTTGCCAGGTCACCATAGGTGCTGTAGGAGACTAGCTAGTGTTACTCCCAGTACACTAGATACCAAGATATCCCCACAATGAGTGGTGACAGATCCTCCCACACAGAGGAGGAGGTGTTCCGGGGATATGAAGTCCTCAGAACCCTTGGCAAGGGCAGCTTCGGCAAGGTGAAGCTGGCCCGCCATGTGGAGAGTGGGACCATGTTGGCTGTGAAGATCATTGCCAGAGGGCACGGGGATTCCTCCGAGTTCCCACAAGCAAGGGTAGAAGCAGAGATTATGAGTTCTCTGCATCACCCTCACATTGTACAGCTAATGCAGGTAGACTACACGGCAGAGAGAGCCTACCTGTTCATGGAATATATTAGCGTGGGGGACCTTGGAAAGTTAGTGGCAGTGCGCGGCCACCTTGAGGAAGGAGAAGCATGCTACTATTTCAGTCAGACCCTGGAAGCAGAGGAGTACTGCCATAAGCAGCACGTTGTCCACAGAGATATAAAATTAGAAAATCTCCTTGTGGACAGAAAAATGTGTATTAAACTAATTGACTTTGGCTTAAGCCAAAAGTTGGCTGAAGGCCAACAACTCAATTCATTGTGTGGCAGCCTCGAATACTGTGCCCCGGAAGAATTCTTAGGGAAGGAATTCGATGGCTACAAGGCTGACATGTGGAGCCTGGGCGTGCTCCTATACACCATGGTGAAAGGGTGGCTGCCCTTTGAAGGGGACAGCTTTGCACACTTGAAGGAAGCCATCCTGGCTGGCTCTTACCTAATCCCCTCCTCTATAAGCGGGGAACTGGAGCAGCTGCTGGACTGGCTGATGACCTATGACCCTGCTGAGAGGCCCACAGTGGCAGATGCTATGGGCCACAAGTGGCTCAGCATGGAGCAGAAAGGGCCCAAACTGAGTGAAGACACAGCCAAACAGACTCAGAGTTCAACCGAGGACGAGGACCTCAGTGAAAGTGTGGAGAGCCTGAGCTCTCAGGAGGGCCTCAGAGAACAGGACGGCCCCCTGTGGGGAAAAGCCCAGCTACAGGCTCACCTCAGAGGAGGAGGAAGCGAAATTTACATGGGGCTCCCAGGTCCTTCGCATGTTACTGAAGGTCCGAAATACCTCTCAGGCCTCCTCTTCCAGCTGGGCCGTGAGGAGGAGGATGGCTGCTTGTCCCCTGCTCTGAGCTGGGGGAAATCCCAGGAGGGCTTCAGTGGAGCAGCGAGACCTGAGCTCACTGAAGTGGAGCTTCTAGCATCTCCCCAGGATGCTGAGGCCCAAAGCTACCTGGTGGAGCTGGGCTTTCAGCTGAGCCATAAAGCAGCCCCCCTGACACCCAGTCTCCAAGCCAGCACCACATCCCCAGTGCTGCCCGAAGGTGACCTGTCATCAGGGCTAAATGCCTGCCATGGAGCCCGCAGGATGGACGGTTCCCCACCTGGCATGATGATGATCCACACTCCTCGCCCAGTCCTCAGGTATAACAGCTCCGTGTCCTCTGCGTCCACTCTCAACACCAGCAGCAGTGAGGCTGGCAGGTCAGATGGTCCCCACGCTATCATAAGGAGGAGGACCTACATTCTTGGGCCAGTTCTCAGCCACAACAACTCCTTGTCCTCCATAGCCACTATCAGCGTCACCAGCAGTGAGGCTGAGAGGACAGATGGCCCCCAACCTGGGATAAGGAGGGAGACCTACATTCCCTGGCCAGGCCTCAGGTACAACAGCCCCGTGTCCTCCATATCCACTCTCAGCTCCAGCAGCAGAGAGGACCACTTAGCAGACAGGAGCTGTTCCCAGGGAGTGACAGAGAATGAGAGCCTCCCAGAAAACCAACAGGACGAGGAGGCAGGGACCTCACCTGCTAAAGCTGCCAAGAGCAAGGGCCGCCGGGGGGTCTGCAGGAGGATGGTGAACTGCCTTCTGCGGGTGTGTTGTATCCTGCCAGACCCAGAGGAAGACCTCTGAATTCAGAGGAGAAAGGTGGCCCCATAGCTTCATTCACTGGAAATGCTCAAGAGGAAATTATGATCCCTGCCTGGGAGGAGGGATTGTGGGGAGGCAGTAATAAATAACAGGCAGGGAGTGAAGGCAATGGGTCTCATAGGAGGAACTAGGATCAGGCGTCAGACCAGACCACACCACCAGGTCCTGTGTCTCATGTGCAAGCAGCTGATCAGGTGAGCATAACCTCACTTCAGTGTCAGGTCAGTGACATTTCTCGGTTGTCACATGGTTCAAGTAGTCAGCAGAATAGCATTTTTATTGGTTAGCATCCATGACCATTTGCTAGGCACCAGAAAAACAGACACCTGACATTGAAACGCTGTAGTGAATGTATCCATTTATAAGGACTTACTATAGAAGCTCCTTTAGAAGAGGCATAACATACTGGGGCACAGTGCCAGCCTCAGGGGCTTTCTCTATCTGGATTCTGAGGACAGCCACACTGTGTGCATTCAGCAGAACTTACAGAACTGTATGCATAAATATCTCCTTGATTCCATAAAAAGTAGAAAAAAGGAACAAAGAGACCAGGCCCTGGGACTTCCAAGAGCTGTACAAACCTTGCCTTCACGTCTATGAAGTGTGTGGTACTGCGCAAGTACCTCATATTCTGAGCCCTGGTTACCACTAAAAAGTTGGGGAGGAGGCTCTGAAAAGTCCTTGTGACACCGTGAGGTCTGGAGTTTCTGGGATGACAAAATCCAGCCATGTGCTTGCTCAGGGAAACCCAGGTACGTGTGGCAGATAAGCCTTCCTTCTAGCATGAATGTACTGGACTCTCAGGTTATACTCAAATAGTCTCCCATCCTGTTTTGGGATGTGTGCAGGGGCCACTGGCTGCTTGGGGGATGACTGGCAGCTGCTGGCCCCAGTGGCCCACTTCGGTATGTGATGTCTGGGGTCACTATCAAGTCCAGCCTAGTATTGGCAGCTATAGTCAAATTGAGTAACTTTGGTCTGCATTGATAGATATTGGAGTGGGGGGATTCCTTTACCTTTTAAATTATGCGAATAATACAAAACACAAATGTTACTATTTTAACCCTTTTTAAGAATACGGTAGTGGCATGAAGAGCATTCACAGGGTTGTGTGCACATCACCACCACTCCTCTCCTCCACATGAAACACTCCCCACCCCCCTCCCCAGCCTGGGACCCCCAGGTCTACTCCTGTCTTAATGAATGGGACAACTCTGTCTCAAGTATTATGCAGTATTTGCTCTTTGAGAGCCAGAGAGATGGGCAGAGCTCCCGTCAGCTGGTTCACTCCTTGCAGGCCTGTAATGGCAAGTACTGGACTGGGCTGAAGCCAGGAGCTGGGAACTCAATTCAGGCCTCTCATGTGCATGAAATGAACCCAATCACATGAGCCATCAGCTGCTTCCTCCCTGTCTGCAACAGCAGAAAGTTGGAGTCAGGAGCCAGAGCTGAGAGTGAAACCCAGTAACTCTGACATGGTACGCAGGCATCTTAACTGCTTGCCCTTGGTGTTTGTCTTTCTGTGCCTGGCTTGTATTATCCAGTCCTCAGGATTCATGCCTGCAGTAGCAAGTGTCAGAATATCCTTCCTTGGAAAGGCTGAATAATACTCCGTGGTTCAGTTGGACCACATTGTTTTCCCACACTCATTTTCTTTTGATGGCCCATGGGTTGTTTGCATATAGGGGTAATATGAATAATGCTACTGTGAACATGGGTACCAATTACTCCTTGAGACCCTGTCTTCAATTCTTCTATTATGTATGTACTTATGTATTTGAAAGACACAGTGACTGAAAGAGAGCTCTGCCTCACTCCCCAGATGGCCACTACAGTGAAGGCAGGCCAGGATAAAGCCAGGAGCCCTGCACTCCATCTAGGTCTCCCACACAGTTGACAGAGGCCCAAGAACTGGAGCCATAATCTGTTGCCTTCCCATGAGTATTAGCAGGAAGCTGAATTGAAAGCAAATTAACCAAGACTGGAACCAGACACTCCAGTATGGGATGTGGACCTCCCAAGTGGCAGTTTAATTGGCTGCACCACAACACCCACCCCCGTTTCCAATTCTTGGAGTCATATACCTAGATATATATACACATAGATGTATATATACCTAGATGGGCTACTTGACAATTCAATGTTTAAAAATTTGGGTGGCAGTTCTATTTTGTGGTGTAGCAGGTTAAGCCACCACTTGGAACACCCACACTCCATATTGCAGTCAGTTCATGTTCCAGCTGCTCTACTTCCAATCCAGCTCCCTGCTAATGCTTCTGGGAAAGACATGAAGGTTGGCTCAAGTACTTGGGCCCCTGCCACCTACATGGGAAACCCAGAAGAAGTTCCTGCCTCTGGCCTGGCCCAGCTTGTCTGTTCTGGTCATTTGGGAGGTGAAGCAGTAGATGGAGGAGTCTCTCTCTGTCTCTCTCCTCCCACTCCCTGCCACAGACTTTGCCTTTCAAATCAATAAATTTTTTGGTTATAAGGAAATAGCTTTATATTTATTTTAATTTTAAAAGATATTTATTAATTTGAAAGGCAAATTCACAGAGGCAGAAGCAGAGAGTGAAAGACAGAGAGAGTGAGAGAGAGAGGGAGGTATCTCCATCTTCTGCTTCACTCCCCAAATGCTCACAACAGCCATGGCTGGGCCAGGCTGAAGCCCAGAACCTGGTGCTCCACCCTGGTCTCCTAAGGGAGTGGAAAGAACTCAAGTATTTGAGCCATCACCTGCTGCCTGCCAAGGTGCACATGAGCAGAAAGATGGAATGGGGACCTTAACTTAGTCTAGAGTCCAGGAAAAGCAAGCTCTTCAGCTGGAGACCAGGACAGAGGGAGGTGCTGCCTCTCCTATTCCCCTCCTCCAGCTGTTTATGCTGCTGGCCACTCCCCACCTATGCCCATGCATGTGTGTTCTTTCACCTTTTTAATAACTTCATCATTCTGGACAGTGTATATGTGCCTGTACTTGGAATGTCTCCCTAAGCAGAAGGCACAGACCTGAAATACACATTCAGCCACCCCACTTACTTCACTTCTTATGGGTGAGCCATCCAGGTGTCTGAGAAAGCCCAACAGTGAACCAAAAAAGCAACAGTGGTAAGTGGAATTAAATTTGTTTCTGTCTCAGCTGTGCTGAGCTTTTACCTCCTTGTGAAAATTCAAAAGTGTCTCCCTCAGTCTCACTGCTCTTGATCTCAGGCAGATCTGTTAAGATGCAGTTGTGGGGACCTTGTTCCTAAGTTTCAGCTATAGGGGAGGAAAGGCGACAATGAGATGTCTTCATAAGGAAGATCTGGACAGAGGAATGGGAAGAGAGTTGCACAGTTTGTGGCCTTGTGCCCAAAATCTTTGTTTCTGGTTTGTAGTGTGTTTTTTTTTTTAATTTATTTTATTTTTTTATTTTTTTGACAGGCAGAGTGGACAGTGAGAGAGAGAGACAGAGAGAAAGGTCTTCCTTTAGCCGTTGGTTCACCCTCCAATGGCCGCCGCGGCCGGCGCGCTGCGGCCGGCGCACTGCGCTGATCCGATGGCAGGAGCCAGGAGCCAGGTGCTTTTCCTGGTCTCCCATGGGGTGCAGGGCCCACGCACCTGGGCCATCCTCCACTGCACTCCCTGGCCACAGCAGAGAGCTGGCCTGGAAGAGGGGCAACCGGGACAGAATCCGGCGCCCCAACCGGGACTAGAACCCGGTGTGCCGGCGCCGCTAGGCGAAGGATTAGCCTAGTGAGCCGCAGCGCCGGCCCTGTAGTGTGTTTTTTAAATTCATTCTTGCTGTTGAAAAACCTGAAACTTGGAATTTAGTTTCTACTGGATGCAATACACCTGGCTAAAAAGTTCTGTCTTGAGATTTTGAATTGTGGTGTTTTCCTTATTAAAATGGGCAGGTGGGCCAAGCACTCGCCTTTTGCTAGCAAACTTCTCTTCATCTGACTGGAGTGGTCCTCAAAACAGGTGTGCAGTGTATATGTGCCACACCCCCTGTCAGCAGGTGGTACTTCCTAACATGGCAGGAGTTCCTCAACAGGAGCCAAGGGAGGGACTTTGCCCAACCATGGAAGCCTCAAGTGTGACTTCAGCTTTTCAGTGGATGATGGAAATGGACCCCACCTGACCATGGTGGACCCCAAAGCTAGTGCAAGCCATGTACCTAGTCAGTAGCACTACCATTTATCTTAGCTTTATGCTGGTTTCTGCTGCCCTGGAATACACACCCAGGTATGGATTTCAATGCTACCTGAGGTCACAAGCTCTAGATATGCTGGTCCTAGCCCCAGAGAATGTTCAGGACACAGAAGCTTCAGGGCTTACAGCCTCTAGCAGCTGGTCTTCAGGCATAGGCTGTGTTATTTTTACAACCCAGGAGCTTTTCCTCCTGGTGTGAGGAACAGTGCCCCACTAGAGTTCATTTCTTGCAGAGATGACATCCCATAAGCTCATGTTGGATGCTGGGAAAATGCCCCAATTATACATGCATTTGCTCCCAAGTTGTTGGCACCTTTGCAAAAGCAGCAGCACTCTTCAACTGGCCAGATTATGTAAGGCATGTTCATTAAGACATTTTAATAGGGGCATTGGGTAATGAAGATGCCCTTAGATATAGATCAACCCACAAGGAGCCCTGGAGGCAGGTTGCTTAAAGCCGAGGACCTCAAATTGGGGTATAAAACCTTTGTAATGTATCCAATACAATTAATACAAGGGAGCTGAATCACATATATAAGCATAACAGGGTTTGTGGAGAGCCATATCACTTTTGTCTTGTCAGGTTCTACCAAAACTTCAGCTGTATATGACTCCTCATTCGTCCCTGTGGACTGACTCCTAAGGGTACAGTTTAAAAAATTCTAGAAAATTGAGATACCGAGTGGTTTACTGACAGCAGTAGTTGCACAAAGTATGGAGTTTAAAAGGCAGGTTATGCCATGGTGGGTCTTACTCAGGTGATAGAATCTCAGATATTGCCAACTAGCACTTGATCGCAAAAGCCCAAACTTACTGCTTTAACTAGAGCCTTGCAATGGGGAAGAGCTAATGAGTTATTATGTCCAGACTCCAGTTTATTTTCCTTGAGTTCCATGCACATGGAGCAATTTGGAAAGGAAGAGCCCTCCTGACTGCAAAGAGCTCTCCCATTAAATAAGGAGAAGAGATGTTAGCTCTCCCTCAGGAGCACTGGAGTCTTTAGAAAGTGGTTGTCATTCACTGCAGGGGACACAAGAAGACAGCCATGCTATTCAGGGAAATGTGCTAGCAGATAAGGCAGCAAAAGTCGCTGCTGCAGGGCAGGTTCTAGAAATAGCTTTGCTACCTGAGCTTTTTGGTCACTAAGTATCCTCACTACACAA